ATTTCATTCTCAAAAGAGAAATGGGAGGTGCAAAAATAACCAGAGGAAATATTGGATTTGTTCTATTGTTTTGTTGTTGTTGTTTTGTTTGTTTTGTTTTTTTTTTTTGGAGACAGAGGCACCCTGTAGCCCCAGCTGGCCTATAACTTCCTATGCAGACCAGACTGACCTCGATCTCACAGAGATCTGCCTGCCTCTGCCCCACAGTGCTGTGATTAAAGGCATGCCCCAACATGCCTGGTTGTTATACTGGTTCTATCAAGACAATTTGCAATATAACTTCCAACTTATCTATATCATAACACTCCCATTGAAACCAATTCCTTTGCCAAATTTGACATTGTGTTAATTAAATTCATAAAATGCTCAAGCAGAGAATTTCTTTAAAAATGTTGTTTGTACTATATCAAACATCCCTTCCAAAATGCCTTTCAATGTACCAAATAATTTTACTTGAATGCAATCATTGATCTAGAAAAGAAGAAATAAAGCTGGAGAAAGTAATTAAAGCCAGATCCTAAAAGCCAATACTTCTGAGACTCCAGACGATTGGCATGCGCTGCAGATTCCAGTAAAACACAAAAATGAGGTAATTTTTATTCTTATTATGTTTATGACTCTTGCAAAACCTAGCCAGAGTAAAAGCCTTTTCATTGAAAGTTTTCAATGTCTTCTGCCAAGAGTCTTCTAACTAACTTCTCCTCTAACTCTCCTGTAGTTACCTTTAATAAGTAACAAGAGAGAATTCCTGAGACAACCTTAAACATTTCAATTAATCACCTTCTTTATTCTCCTCCCCTGTCTTTAATAAATCCAGATAAGAAATTGTGAAACTGGTTCCTAGGTCACTTTCTTCTCCCCCTTCTTTATCTGTTCCCTTTAGGGACTTAACTGGGCTGCAAGAGGCAAACAGGAAAAAGATTGGCACCTACCCTGAAGTGTGAGCATTAGAAGAGGTAAAACTGTTCAAAAGCCAACACACACACACACACACACACACACACACGCACACACACAGGGAGGAGAAAAACAGAAGAGATGATGAGAAAGATAATTTTTTCATGAATAGAACATCTGATCTTGTGCAACTAATAATAAAATAATCCTGTCTTCCATGTGCCTATATTCCATGCTTCTTTAAAAAGATTTGCAGAGGACCCGGGTTCAATTCCCAGCACCCACACGGCAGCTAAAAACCGTCCTTAACTCCAGTTCCAGGGGAATCCAAAGCCCTCTTCTGACCTCCTCCCATTGTACAACATTGAACAACATGGGTGCACCTACATACATGCAGGCAATACACTCATACACATAAAATAAAAATAATAAATAAAATATTTTTAAAAGGGTCTCTTTTAGAGCATTGAAAATAAAGAGCAAGTTTAAAAGTTTAAACTTTTTAAAAAGACATAATTTATCTGTAGTCATATCATTAACATATGGACGTCTGCTTTCTACTAAAATCCTCAGCATCTAAAATAGTATAAATTTTAGACACCATAGACAGGTCAGGGAAAGATGCTTGGAGCCCATAGGATCAATAACAAATGGCACAAAATGATGTTTTCCTGATTCTTAGCCTCAGCCTTATCCCCAGAAACATTTTTTAAAAATGGTAGCTATTAAGAGCTGCCATCACAGCAGTAGGTTAGAATACTTCTGAATGACTTACAGTTATTGGTCAAATATGATTGTTCCTCTATAAGAACTATAGCTCAATATTGGAAGTGTTAATATTTTAACTTTTTTGGCCTTTATTCATTCAATAGACATTTATTTCACAATTGACTAGCTACTAGAGCTACTAACTCAAATACAGCATTGTCTTTTCTCTTAAAGAAACTCATGTCATAGAGCCTGGCTTCCCTACTAGAGCACTGGCATTCAGTCAAGTCATTTTTTGTTGTTTGGGCTTTTTTGTGTATTATAGGATATGAATATCACCCCTGGCCCATGGGTGGACATCTTAAGTGGATGAGTTCACTCTATGTATATACATTATTAAAATATTATACTATACCTCACAAATATGTATAAAATTATGGGCAGAAAGAAAGAGGGGTGTGTGTGTGTGTGTGTGTGTGTGTGTGTGTGTGTGTGTGTGTACAGAATTGGGACCAAAGAATTGCCAAGACCAAAGAAGGATAGTCCTTTTTTCATAGTTATTTACTTTTTACTCATGTGTATGTGTTGTGCTGCAGGAGTTTATATGCATCATGTGTGTGGAGGTGTTCTCAGAGGCCAGAGGGCATCAGATCCCCTGGAACTGGAGTTACAAGTGATTGTAAGTCACCTGATATGAGTGTTGGGAACTGGACCCAGGTCCTGTGCAAGGGCAGTATGTGTGCTTTACTGCTGAGACATCTCTTTAGCCACCAAACAGGGCATTCTTAATGGTAAAATGCCACATTAATACCAAGTTTGAATGACAGACTCATTCTCACTGATGCTTAACTATTGTTTTTAAAATCTTTGACTTAACTGGATATAGTGGTACATGATTTTAAATCCAGCACTCAGGAGACAGAGATAGGTAGATCTCTGTGAGATCAAGGCCAGCCTCATGTACTTAGCAAGTTCTAGGCCAGATGGAATTACAGGGAGATCCTGTCTCAAAAAACAAAACAAACAAAAAAAGTCTTTGTTCTAGCATCTTTTCAAATTATTTTGAAAGCCTGACTCTATGATATTAATGATAAAGCTTTGTGTAAATGTATGCTTAACCCTTAAATTAAAACCATAGTGTACATGTAAACGAATCTTTGGCTTTTCCCCCAGTAGGTTACATCTATCTAAGCATTTGTGAGACTAAGTTATAATCTATCTTATCCGATATAGAAGTTTCCAATGCTTTCTGGGTTCTCATTTTAAAGCATCATATTTTAACTTGTTTATACTAGTAGGCAGAGTTGGAACCTTAATACCCATGTGCTAAAGTTGGGAGGACCTGACAGTGCTTCACATTAACACCTTTTAAGGAAGAAGCTTAATTTTGTTACAGTTTTCTCTTCTATACTATGACACTATCCAGACATGGTGAGAGTGAGCCAAACCAAAACACAAGAACCCAGGACATCCCCTTTCCCACCAAGTCATGTTTCCAATCAACCTTTTAGAGCAGCAATTCCCCCATTTCTGCCCTTCATTTCCATAAAACTGAGCTTAAATTGGTTTTCTGAGAAGTTATGAAACCTTTGGTTGGTCATTTACACCCTCTTGACCTTCAGTTTGCTCACTTATAAAATCAGGGAATTGACTTAGGGGTTTCTAAGATCCTTCAGCTCCAAAAGCCTAGGAGTCTATGCTATAGTCTAAGCACAGGCTGACCCTCTATAGCCTATAATACCTTATTTCAATGCTGTTCTATTAGCTGTGTTAAAACTTCATGAAAAGTCTATCTCAAATTTGCAGAAGATACCTACAAAGTTTTCATGCTCAAACAAATTTACTGCAGTTTGGGGAATGACCATCTAGCCCTCGCATTAAATTTACTGCAGTCTGTGGACTTATCAACCCTCCCTCACATTGTCTTTGCATTTGTGGGATTAACTCTTTTATGCCTGTAATAAATTTCTCTCCTTCCTTCCTTTGCTGTTTTCCTTTCTCCCTACATTAGTCTGATGTTTTCCTAAGTGGTGGGGGTTTTAAACTCCCAAGACACATTTATGTGACACTTCCAATAAGGTTAACAGTTTCCACATGCTTAGCTTGTTTTCTTCCTTCTTCAATGCATGCCTGATACATGATTTTAGTGGGGTTTTGTTTTTTTAGCTCTTAATAACCCATGGAGATGTTTAATGTAATAAAAATATTACATTGTGGCTTCCTCACAGTGTCTACTTTATGATTTACTGCATAGTACTTAGGATCAGGTTTATGGAATCTAACCTTTTTCATGAATTCTTAAAGTATCAATTGATCACATATAGTTCATCCTACATGATTACATACCTCATGCTGTATATCCCATTAAAGTATGTTGCCAACTATGTCTCAGTAACGTAAGCTCCAAACTGTCAGGTATCTGGTATAGGTTTTCAAATTCCCTCAATTTTAATGCTTAGATTATATAACATTTTTAAAAGATTTATTAATTTTTATGTGTATGTGTGGTGCTTGTATGCATATATGTGCACTATGTGCCTGCCTGGTGCCTGTGGAAGTCAGAAGAGGGAGTCAGATTCTCTGGAACTAGAATTACAGATGGTGATGAACTGCCCTGTGGGTACTGGAAACTGAACCCGGGTCGTCTGCAAGAACAGGAAGTACTCTTAACCACTGAGCCATCTCTCCAGCCCCTACATTTTTATTTTGTATTTTATGGAACACTTTCTAGATATGAGAAGACTTTTGGCCACACATCAGATCATCATTCTCCAAGTGAAATAGCCCTGTTTAGTCTATGAGTCTGCCTTAAAGAAGGGAGAGGCAAGATGGAGGAAAACGAGGACATGAAGCTTCTAGATCACCTCAGGCTACAGAGATCTGACTAAGAGCCCAGCATGTCAGTTACTTTTGTATTACAGTGACTAAAATACTTGAAAAAAGGGCAATTTAAGTGAGGAAAGGTCCATTTTGGCTCATAGTTTCAGGGAGACCTCAGTCATGATGGTAGGTGAAGTGTGGCAGCTTTCACTGTGGCTGGAGTACATGGAGCAGACACTTTTTCTCATATGCAACAGGACCAGCAAGGACCCAGGGGCAAGGATAACTTTCAAAAGCTGGAGACATGGTCTACTAGAGAAGCCAGGCCTCACCTCCTAAAGGCTCCACAGCCTTCAAAATAGCACTAAAAGCTAGGAACCAAGCATCGAGAACACGGGCCTTTGAGTGACTTTTTCGCTTTAAATCATGACACCGAATATTGATTGTGCCTAAACCAGAGTCCTGTATGTGTTGTTAGCTGACTCCTGTTACTTTTTCTACTGTGACTTACAAAATTTGTCCAATTTGTGCTTGATTTTTAATGTTACTTTAGCAGAAAACTCTAATAATCTTACCCGAATTCCAACATCAGTGATGTTATGACACTCAGACAGAGAAAGTTCCTTCAGTTTTTTATGTCTGGAAAGCATCATCATACCCTAAAAATATAAAGGTAATTTTGTGGTTATAATTTATTATGAAAGGTGTTCCCAAGAATCATTTGTACAAACTAATAGCACAAAAACAACACCCATTTATTTAAGCAAAATAAAAGTATCTTCTGTGTTACACATCTTTTTATTTAACAAAACATAAAATTACTTTGGTAAGAAAATATTATCAAACAAAATTTTTCAGTTGTTTCTAATACTTTGAAAAAAAGTGATATAGATTCCCAGAGCTAGAAAACTCCTTAAGAAATTATTGTGTTGCTACCCATTTTCAGATAAATGATATTTGAATCAGTATAGACAACTCTGACTTACCTGGAGACACTTTATATGGGTAATGAATTTGTCAATAGGGTCTTATTTATTCCTAACTTAAAAAGTCTCAAAATCTTTCATTCATTTTATAAGTCTAATTCCTCAAAAAGAAAAATAATAATTCTTTATTTAAAGACTTATCAACATAATCAACCATTAATACTCTACTTCTTTTTCAGGTTTAAAGCTAAAAGAAAAAAATAGATTGCATTTTCCAACCCTTACATTTTTATAGATATGGCTATGCTAGCCTGCTTCCCAGTAGTTTCCCACAAGAACTGACTGGCACAAGCCTCTGGTAAGGATTGATGAACATGGCTTATAGATGCTACCCTGCTCAGTATTTGTTGGTTGGTTGACTGATGGTTGGCTGGTTGGTTGGTTGGTTGGTTGGTTTGTTGGTTGGGTGGGTGATTGATTGATTGGTTATTTGCTTGGTTGGTTGGGTGGGTGGGTGATTGATTGGTTGGTTGGTTGGTTGGCTGGCTGGCTGGCTGGCTGGTTGGTTAGGTGATTGATTGATTGATTGATTGATTGATTGATTGATTAGTTCTTGCTTGCTTGCTTGGCTGGCTGGCTGGCTGGCTGGCTGGTTGGTTGGTTGGTTGGTTTTATGGTGCTGAGGATGAATGCAGGATAAACTGGGCAAGTGCTCTACCACTGAACTATATCCTCTGCTGCTTTCCTCTGGCTTTGCATTAAATATCATGTTACAATTCCATAGGATATGCTTCCTCAACCAGGCCAACAAGAACTGGGCTAATTTCCCATTCTATGAATCCAGGGCCCATTAACAAAGGAAATGCCAGAAATATCTAGGCATTTGTCCTTTTTATATTTCATTTGAAGAGCCAGTTAGGATAACATTTGAGCTATAATGGAAAAGGGTTATGCAAATACTGGATCCTGTTTTTCCCTTCAATACCCTTTCATTTAAAGAAGAGTTTTCTTAAAGTTCAGATCAAGGGGAAGAGAGCTTGACACAAGCCACTGTTTTAACTGTGGTTTCTAAGCTTGTTTCATGGTTCTATACAGCACCATAGGACCACTCTGTTCATTCTTCTCATTTCATTGATTGTGGATTCTTTTGCTAGGGACACATGTTTTCTGCCTCTTTTCAAAGTAAAGAATGATCAGCCCCATGGAGCCATAGCATGTGATCTGCATTCCTGATGTGGATGCTATTTTATTCATCTTAGAAGAATTAGAAGTCTTCATATATCACCCCCCTGAAACCAAGTTGTTTGAACAAAAATATCAAGACATGCAAAGTCTTTTTGTCTCTTTGTCCTATATTTGAAAATAGAAAGTATGTATTATCCTATCAGAAATTTCTCCAGGTAAATGGTCTCTGAAGCATTTAAATTTAGATTTTACTTTTATGTAGCCAAGTTAGAACTTTTTAAGATTAGCTCCAAAAGAAGTCTGCTTGCTAGATATGACATTTGTCAGTCCACCTGTTCTTTACCACTTTGCTCAAAAATCATTAGTAGTTTAAATATGAGGGCTGGTAAGATGGTTCAGAGACAAAAATGCTTGCCCTGCAAGCCCAGTGACCAAAGTTTGATCCTTGGAAGGAGAGAACCAATTCTACAAAGTTGTCCTCTGGTCTCCTCCACACATGTGCTATAGTATGTGCACCCTCAATCATACAGACATACAACAGCAATAATAATTTTCAAATTAAAATATGAAAATGGAATGCCATGTTTAGTCACTATAACTGCTCACTAAATACATATGAAGTCTGGAAATTAGTCTATTTCTTGAGGAGAACCTGCTTCTTCAATTTTCCTAAAGCAATATAATTTCTAACTGTATTCTAAATACTTATTCTTATGCCCACAGGACGTATAGCTCTCACCCTTCTTCAAAGAAGCTTCTTTTTGCAACAGATAGAAACTATTATAGTGATCCATAACTGGCCAAAATGCAGGGAATAAGTGACTGTGAGGTGGCCAACCCCAACTGTTACATCTGCAGCACAACCCCTACACCTAAGGTTCAGAGAACATCATAGAAGAGGGGGTTGAAAGACTGTAAGACCTAGGGGACCAGAATATCTACTGAGAGCGTCTTCTAGAAACGACAGGGAAGATGAACTAGTGAAATCTCAGCAATATGTTGCCTAAACAAGTCCTGCACCATGACAATACCAGTGGACACATCCAATGTAGATGGGGAAAATTTTGTAAGACTGTACATCTAGATGAAGAGCTATAGGCAATCAATGGCTGCTGAGAGGGAGAATCGGTCTTCTCTAGGGACAAGTCCCCTAATAGGTTATCTACTCCTAAGTGTAAACACCTGCACATAAGAGCAACAATAAGTGAGCTCAGAAAATGGTACATGTGTGTATGCAACAATAACAACTATAGAAGAGGTCATGACCTTGAGAGAGTCGGGAGAATATCGGAGGAGTTAAAGGGGGGAGAAGTGGAATACAATAAATATACAATACTCATGTATTAAATTCTCAAAAAAGTTATTAAAATACATATGAACTCAAAAGTTATTTGATCATTAGCTGGTACATAAACCATAATGAAATACCACCACTAATCTACTGAGATGTTTATGACTAAGAAGAGAGACAATAAAAGTGTTGCTGAAGATATAGACAAGCTGATATTCTCCTATAATGCGGTCAAAAAAGAAAAGTGGACCAGCCATTGTGCAAAAACAGTCTGATAATTTACCAAAAATTAAAATATGATCCAGCAATTGTACTCTGATAGGGGCTTATAAATAAGATAGATTAAAACATTTCTCCACATAAAAACTTGTGCATGAATATTCTTAGCGACAGTATTCAGAATCAACTCAAATATCTGCAAACAGATGAATGAGTAAGCAAGATGCATTTTATCCCTACAATAGAATACTAGCTGTACTGGTGTGCGCTCCTCTATGGATGGGCCTCGAAAAACTTACCTTATGTGAAAGAAGCCAGACTCCAAACTCCATACACCATAGGATTCCATTGATATATAAAGTCTAGAATAGGCAAATATACAGAAAGAAGGAAATAGATTGTGGTTGCCCAAAGCCAGGTGGGGGCAGGACATGGATAAGAGCAACTGCTAACAGAAAGGGGCTGGTTTTGGAGTGATGAAAATGCTCTGGAATTATATTGTGGTGATGTTTACACAAGTCCACAAATACACTAATAAAGCAAAACACTGAATTGTACACAGTGTATTTCATCTCAATAAAGATTTAAAAAAAACTGACTGGCATAATAATTGTTTAAATGAAAATCATAAAATATTCCTGGGAATAATTAAAAAACATATTCCTAAGGTATCCTTCAGCCCCAGTGAACACAGAAGTTGCCCATGTTTCATATATTTTTGTTAGTTCAACTCAGACCTATAGGATGGTGATCATCCATTAACCAGTGTGCCAGTGTTGACAAGTTATCCTGCAGCTTGATGCACTGAGTAGCTGAGAAGCAGCAAGTGGAAGCAGGAAGAGTCGAGGCTGCTATAAGCATTGCCTACTGTGCAATCAGAAGCCAGCAAATGAAATGCAGTCCAGCCAACAAGACACATTCAGACTAGTTTTGTTTGTTGACTTAGTGCCTTTCAGATAACTGACCTAAAGAACATCTGAGCCAGATAGGTAAAAGTTCAGTTTAGCTGGGCATGGTGGCACGCGCCTTTAATCCCAGCACTTGGGAAGCAGAGGCAGGTGGATCTTTGTGAGTTCAGGGTCAGCCTGGTCTACATAGTGAGTTCCAGGACAGCTGGGGCTACAGGGAGACCCTGCTTCAAAAAGACCAAAAAAAAAACAAAATTTCAGTTTAACACTTTGAGATTTATAACTCTCTGAAACAAGTGACAGTTACTGTGGTTTGAATGAGAAGTATCCCTCATAGGCTCAAGTATTTGAACACTTGGTGAATTGGTAGTGCTGTTTGGTGAGGGTCATGGAACTTTTAGCTGAAGGAAGCATTTCACTGGGGCAGACGTTCAGCGTTCATAGCCTTGCCCCATTCCCAGCTGCTCTCTCTGCTTCTGCCTGCATGTGCTTGAAGATGTGAGCTTTCAACTTTCTGCTCTGTCTGCCCCCTGCTATGCCTCCCCGCCATGATGGATTCTTCCCCCTGGAAACATAAGCTCAAATAAACTGTTCCTTCTTTAAGTTGCTTTGGTCATGAAGTTTTATTAAGCCTTGAACTCACAGAGATCCACTGCCTCTGCCTCCCCAGTGCTGGGATTAAAGGCATGCGCCACCATACCTGGCTATAAAATATTTTTTAAAAAAGAAAAGTAACTAAAACTGCTCTCTTTTACAAATTTTCTTTAAAAAGAATTAAATCTCAAGTCTGGGAGAAATTCAGTCATTTATAATTTATCAAATTGATGAGTATTAATTTAACAGCCATGATATTTTGGAGCTCTAGGACAGAAACAAGAAGGAAGTGCTATGTTTACTCCCAAGAAGCTCGCAGCCTGGATAAAGGGGGTGTATATAGGTACAATGGACCATCATAACCATGAAAGGAAAAGGCAGACAGTGGTTGTATTGACATGAGATGGTGAGGTCTGCAACTGTAAGCTTGAAGTAGGTAAGCACAGGAAATAGCTTAGCAATGTGGGACTCCATGTGGTTTAAGGCTATGCACATACACCTCTTCTAACAGGGCACAGGCAGCCTGAAACCTACAA